TTGTCATAGACTGAATGTGGACAGGTCGGCCAAACCTGTCATCCAGTAAGCAAGGAGGCTGACATTGATGCATGTTGAGGCAGTAGAAGAGGAAGTAGATATACTCCTAGAGGCCAGAGCCATTCGAGAGGTAAACTACCCGACATGGTTATCAAACACGGTTGTTGTGAAGAAAATGAATAGGAAGTGGAGGGTCTGTGTGAACTTTACCAACCTGAACAAGGCTTGTCCCAAAGATAGTTTCCCACTGCGTAAGATTGACCAATTGGTGGATGCCACTTCAGGGCATGGAAAGATGAGCTTCCCGGACGCTTACAAGGGGTACCATCAGATAGCTATGTACCCCCCCTGATGAGGAGAAGATTGCATTTATCACCCCAAAAGGGCTATATTGCTATAGAGTAATGCCTTTTAGGTTGAAAAATGCAAGAGCAACCTACCAGAGATTGGTAACAAAGATGTTCAGATATCTAATAGGCAAAACAGTGGAGGTATACATTGATGACATGGTCGTGAAGACCAAGGAGCCAGAGGATCATCTGAAAGACTTAAAGGCAATTTTTGACATCCTTAGAACATACTGGCTCCGACTCAATGCATCGAAGTGCACATTTGGAGTTGGGTCTGGTAAGTTCTTAAGATACTTGGTTACTAGAAGGGGCATTGAGGCAAGCCCGGATCAGATCAAAGCCATCCTAGAATTAAAGAGCCCAACATCGGCAAAGCAAGTGCAGATGTTGACTGGAAGGGCTGCAGCCCTGAATAGATTCATAAACAGAAACTCTAACAAGTGTAAACCTTTCTTCAACCTAGTAAAGAAAGCCACAAACTTTTTATGAACAGAAGAGTGCGAAGTCACCTTGGCTGACTTAAAGAAGTATTTGACTACAGCTCCAGTTCTCTCAAATCCAGTACCTGGAGAGGAGTTGTTCTTATACTTGGTAGTTTCAGAACATGCAGTGAGTGCAGCAGTAATCAGAGAAGAGAAGGGAAAGCAAAGGGCAGTTTACTACATGAGTAAAACCCTAGCAGATGCAAAGACTAGATACCTACCCTTAGCAAAGTTTACACTGGCTTTAGTAATAGCTTCTAAGAAGCTGAATCATTACTTTCAAGCCCACAAAATTGTTGTGTTAACTGAGCATCCTTTGAAGTCCCTGTTGCAGTAGGGAGATCTGACAGGCAAATAGCCAGATGGACAGTGGCCTTGGGCCAATATGACCTAGAATTCAGACCAAGAACAGCAATCAAAGGCTAAGTTTTGGCCGACTTTGTGGCCGAGTTCACACCAGGCACCATCATACATCGGGCTCCGTTGAGTCGAGGTATAATATGTCCAAGTGAACAAAGAGAAACCCAACTGGGGATAACAGAACAAAGGAAAAAAGAGAAACTCAAGCCATACAGTATTTACATCGGCGACTCCTTTCGGCTATTTGTTGATGGGAGTTCAAACTGACAAGGAGCGGGGGCAGGAGTAGTGCTAGTATCTCCAGATAGGCAGATACAGGAACAATCCATTCGTTTGGGGTTTAAGGCCTCAAACAATGAAGTAGAGTATGAAGCACTGATCGTAGAATTAAAGCTAGCAGTTGCAATGGAAGCTGACGAAGTGATAGTCTTCTGTGACTTCCAACTTATCGTCAACCAGGCAACAGGTGAATACGCAGCCCGAGATGAAAGGATGTCAGCCTTTGTAAAAGAGGTGGGCAGACTGGTAGCCTTATTCCAAAATTGCCGACTACATTAGGTTAGCCGAGATGACAGCAGCCATGCTAATGCTCTAGCCAACTTGGTTAGTGCAATGAAACCTGGAGAGCCAAGGACGATAATGGTCGACTACCTGTCAGGTCCAAGCATAGAACCACTGAACACAGAACATGAATCAGTGTGTGTGGAGATGGGACCAAGTTGGATGGATGCGATAATAGTATTTCTTAGAGATAGAAAACTGTCAGATGATCATAAAGAAGCACACAAGACCAGACTGAAGTCGGCAAGATTCAGACTGACAGCAGAAGGACATCTCTACAAAAGATCTTTTACTGGTCCCCTTTTGAGGTGTGTGCATCATTCACAAGTTGAAGACTTCTTGTATGAGATAAATGAAGGAGTATGTGGAAGCCACACTGGGGGCAGGTCACTTGTTCATAGGGCCATTACCCAGGGGTGTTGGTGGCTCTATATGCAGAAAGATGCTAAAGCCTATGTCAGAAAGTGTGAGAAGTGTCAGAGGTTTGCGCCTTTGATACACCAACCAGCAGCAGATTTGAACCCAGTGTCCAGCCCCTGGCCATTTGCCCAATGGGGCATGGATCTTGTTGGACAACTGCCCCAAGCAACTGGACAAAGAAAATTTCTGCTGGTAGCAACAGATTACTTCACCAAGTGGGTGGAAGCTAAACCCCTTGCAAAGATTCGAGATGCTGATGTGAAGAGCTTTATATGGAAGAACATCATCACCAGGTTTGGGATCCTAAGAGTAATAATAGCAGACAATGGTACACAGTTTGACAGTAAGTTAATCAAGAGCTTCTGTTCAAAGTACAAGATCAAGAATTACTATTCCACTCCAAGTTTTCCTCAAAGCAATGGACAAGCAAAAGCATCCAACAAAGTTATCTTGGATGGGATCAAGAAAAGGCTGGAAGCAGCAAAGGGAAAATAGGTGGATGAGTTACTTAATGTACTCTGGGCATATCGAACTACGCCGAGAAGATCAACTGGGAAATCCCCATTTGCCATGGCTTATGGCACAGAGGCAGTAATTCCACTGGAGGTCGGCATCCCATGGATCAGAACCCAGGGAGTAGAGAACGGGACTAATGATGCATTTTTAGCCCAATATCTGGACTTATTGGAAGAAAGAATGAAGAAAGTACCAATTCAGCTGGGGGTATACCAGCAACAGCTTGCTAGGGCTTACAACAAAAAGGTCAACCCACGAGAGTTTTAAGTTGGTGACCTAGTCCTGAGAAAAGTCGTCGGTAACAAGAAGGATCCTAGAGAGGGCAAGCTTAGCCCAAACTGGGAGGGTCCTTACAGAATTATCTCGGTCCTGGGAAATGGGGCATATCGGCTCAAAGATAGTGAAAGCAAAGAGTTGCCAAGACCTTAGAATACTTGCAACCTGAAGTTTTTTTATCATTAGATTTTTTATTTTTCTCTGTTATTAGCCGAAGTAATTAATAAAATTTTAGCTCGATTTTTTATTTCAAACTTGTGTAATACGGTTGACCAACCACTTAGCGATGCTTTTGACTGAAACATGACAAATAACTTAGACTTATTATATGGCAAGAGTTGCCAAGACCTTGGAATACTTGCAACCTGAAGTTTTTTTTATCATTAGATTTTTTATTTTTCTCTGTTATTAGCCGAAGTAATTAATAAAATTTTAGCTCGATTTTTTATTTCAAACTTGTGTAATACGGTTGACCAGCCACTTAGCGATGCTTTTGACTGAAACATGACGAATAACTTAGACTTATTATATGGCAGAGTTAAATTATACTTACATATAATAGAGTTGAACTAAGTTGGCGATGTTTCTGATTGAAACATGACGAATAACTTAGACTTATTATATGACAGGGTTAAATTATACTTGCATATAATAGAGTTGAACTAAGTTGGCGATGTTTCTGATTGAAACATGACGAATAACTTAGTCTTATTATATGGCAGAGTTGAATTACACTTGCATATAATAGAGTTGAACTAAGTTGAATTAACCTAGATTTGTTGTGTCGACAGAATGAGAACTTTGAATGACATTAAGTACATTAGCAGAGAGACCGAGACTAATAACCTCGGCCAGTCTCTGTTTGAATCTGATCTCGACGACAAGATCATAGGTACATACTTAATGTAAACATAAGTGAAACTTAAGTTCACATTAGGGGGGCAGAGAGTTGGAGAATAATGCTTGGAAGTTGGAATTTAAAAGCTAAAGTTGGTTTAACACTTGTTGAAATTTTAAGAAAAATTTACAAGTTAAGCCGAGGTCATGTTGAAAGAAAATTGGTTTAACACTTGTTGAAATTTTGAGAACAATTTACAAGTTGAAGTAAAGCCAAAGTTGTTTTAAAGAAATATCTGCGCATTTGCCAAGATTACCAAATTATCAAGATTTGGAAAATAATGGAAGATAGAAGTCTTGAAAAACTGAAAGTGAAGTGGCAAGTTTTAAACACACACTTGTGAAAATATTTTCAGGCGTTAAGCCAAGGCCGAGATAAATAGTTGGTGGGTATATCCGAGTACTTTACCCCGAGGAGATTGCATAGTTAAGGTGTACTTTGAAGACATGCAAAATATTCTAAGTATGGAATCATACAAGACAGTAAAAAAAAAAAAGCATACATCAAAGCACTCAAAAGAAACGCAAAAAGAAAGTTATACTTGCATTCGGATAAGGAAGTTCAAATACAAAGAGGCACTTCGGCCTGATATTGGAGATTACTTGTTCAGAGTAGAAAAAGGCACATCGGCCAAATAAAAGCTAAAAACATTGTTCAAAAGAAGAAAGTACAAGGTATAAGAAATAAAGAAAAGCTTCAAAACTAGACTACATCATCGACTGTGGCAGGTTGTGTCTCGGCCCCAGATGACACCTGGGAACTCTTCTCAGTCGCCTTCTCGGCCACGATCTCGGCATCGATCTCTTTAAGAGTCTAATTGATGCTCCTCTCGGCGATTGGCACCTCGGAGGTTGTCTTCTGGGAGGAGGCACCCTTTGAGACTTCATCTTCCTCATCTTGAGTCAAGTCCAAGACTTGTTCATTCAAAGTTGGGGACTTGGCCCTAGCAGCTTCTTCCGTCTTCTCGGTCTCAGCTTCCTCCTCGGACTCTGTCTCGTCCTCGGATTAGCTTAGAGTAAGGGGGAATGGCGGGACGAGACAGCTTTCGTCTTTAAGCGAAGAGTCCTCGAGGACAGCCAGTTCTTTCAAAGCAGCCATCTAACCAAAGGTGAAATCCTTGTTGCATACCTATTTTACTTGCTTCTTGTAGTCTTCTTTGACGTCGGCTACCCCCTCGACGTAGGCCTTCTCGTCCGCCACTTTGATCTCGGCCTCTTTTATAGCCAAGGCATCTTGGAGTTCTTTTTGGGCCTCGATCATCTTTGCATCGGCCTCTTTCTTCTCGGCTTCAAAGACCTTAGCAATTGCCTTAGCAACGCCTGCCTTCTCCTCGACCTCGTCTTGAGCTTTCTTGGCTATATTGGCCTGATCCATCAAAGCCTTCATCTTGCCCTCGGCTCTGTTGAGGGACTAGAACGAATTAGAAGCCTCCTTGGTCTTTTGGACCAACTCCTTCTTGATGGCGAAGGCCTGCATCTCGAAGGAGTGGACATGCTGGATCGCCTAGAAGAAATGAAAAAAATGAGTTAGTAAAACTCTCTAAGTATGAAATGGCAGAGAATGAAAAGTACCAAGTGTCAGGGGCTTACTTGTACGGAGTGCTGCAACATCAGAGCAAAATTTTCATACTCGCTAAATTCGGCGTTGCGATCGAGATCTTTGGGGAGGAGCAAGGCAGTAGAGAGGGCAACGCCGACTTCAATGTCATCAGCGCTGTCACCAGCTCTGACTGGCTTGTCCTCAATTGTGATTGAGGGGGCCTAGAGGGCATCGGATTTGAGGGACCCCGAGGTGGCCGCAGAAGTCGACCTCGGCCTCTTTGACTTGGTGGATTCAAATGGTTCAGCCTCGGTGGGCCTCTTCTTGGCAGCGGAGGAGGTCTTCTCACCCTCGGCCAATTTTGAAATCGGCAAGGTGTCCTTAGTATCAATCTAAGTCACCGTTGCCTTGGCTTGGGCCTTCTTCAGTCTCTTTGGCTTTGGCTTTGGCTTTGGCTTTGGCTGAGATTGTGATAGTGAAGATTGTACGGAGACAATGTTGGGGATGTCGGCCAGAAGATCATCAGCAACTGCCTTTTTGCGACCAATCTCGTCGGCTGTGGCGGCGATGGTGACCTTAGTAACGAAATGGATCGCTAGAAGTGCAATTAGGGGGGTGGCTGGATCGTAAGAAGATGCCTCGGCACTTTGATGTCTTCAGTTTCGAGTCCTACCTGCTGGAGCTTGCAGTGGAGCTCGACGTCGGCGTTGGCGTTGAAAAGGTAGAATCAGCTGCGGAGCTGAGGTTGATGACTGTTCCACAGGACCAAATGTTGATCCTTGGTCAGGTCTTGATGATTCGGCTTGAGGAGTTGTTGCTGATGGAGAAGACTTGCTTTTCCTTTTTCGTGGGACGTCAGGGAGTACAAATTTGTACATCGGGATAAAGTTGAGCAACAAATGAGCCTTGCGCTGATTAACAGGCAAGTCCAGCAACTTCTTAAAGTCTTTACTGGGAAAGAAGTTTTTTCGAAAGTCCTTTGGGGGCTGACGAAGAACTGCAAAACAAAACCAAACAGATGTTAGAACATACAAAAATATCCAAGTATTAAAGACTTGAAAGCAAGTAAAGGTGACGCTAGGATCTTACCACCTCCCTCTTTGAAAATTGTTCGGCTTAACGGATGGAGGTGAAGGTCATCATCTGGTTGGAACTCCCAGTTGCCCGAGACGATGAAGTAATCGTCTCCAGCACCCTTGTTGGAGTCTGAGAGGTCGGCGACAAGTTTGTATTCCGTTGATCTCGGCTTAAGATAGTAGATATAGCATTTTTCCGACTTTAAGCCGCACATTGTGTAACAGTATTGGATGTCGGCAAGGGTAACCCTAGCATTCTCTTTTTTGGCTAAGGCAATTATACCATTGATAACTCGGTAGGAGTTAATGGCGAGTTGCATTGGGTTCAGTTTGTAGTAGTGTAGGACTTCTCAGAAAAGGATGTCAAGAGGTAGCCTAAGTCCACACTCAATGAAGGCTACAACGGGAAAAGGCATATAGTCTTTCCCCGGCATAATGTAGTCATTTTCCCCAGCCAACCTAGATGAACGTTGACCAGGATGGAAAACTCCTGCCTAAAGTATTCTAACTTAATTGGAGTGTCTACCCTATACCTCCACATACCCATGATGTCAGCTTGAGGGGAATGTGTTGGATTTCAGAAGGAAGTGTTTTGTGAAGGTTTGAGGGACCTCGGCTAAAAACTGCAAGTGTTCTGGGGCAAATTTGTTCTGAAAAATCTAAAGGGTTTTAGGTTCGATTTTCCAAAAGGATCAAGGTTCTACAACAAATCCCAAAACCTAAGTCTATGCAAACAAGAATTGAAGGCAAGAATCTAGGAAAAGACATAGAAAACAAAAACAAGAACAATGATTCAGAATCAAGAATAGTGATGAACTATCAAGAACACTGTGACAAAGTGTGTACAAGAGTGCGAGGCCAAACATAGTGGCAATTTATAAAAAAAACCAAGTGTATGAACAGATTGTGTATACGTATGTATAGCCAGAAACAAATTGCAGGCAAGGAGAAATTCACAACATAAATAAGGATTCAAGAACATGAATAAAGTCACAGTAGCGGTATACGAACGTAACAGTTTGAAGTAAAACAAGAAGTTAAATCGAAAGGAAGCAGTGACTCACCGAAAAGAATGAAACCGGTGTTGAGTACGCCAGAGTCAAATGATGGCAGCAATCGGAAAAGATTAGCAAAAGATTCGCCAAATGAGAAGAATGGAAGTGGTTATAGAGCTTGAGAGCTTGAAACAATGGCGGATTTAGGAGAATAGAGAGAAAGTTTGAACGAAAACGAAGATGCAAAAGTGAAAAGACAGAGAGAGAGAGAGAGAGAGAGATGATTTTGATCAAACACGCAGAGTGGTGGCAAAATGACAATTAGTGTGCCTAGGACAACGTGCTTGTTAGACTGCGCACGCAAGTGCGATGGGACTTAATGGCGCGTGTCAGGTACGGTTCAGTGGGGAAGAGATGCGTGGCAGAACCGGTTGAAATACTGTGCGTGACAGCTCATACGCGTGTTGAAACTCTTAGAGTTCTTGATTTAATGGAGCAGAACCTCGACTAGGGGGACGATCTCGGCTAAGAAACTTGAACAAACTTGGTTATTGGTTCTAAAGCATTGGTGAAACAAATTACAGGTCTTGGTCATGTGAAGCCGACAAGTGATGACCTCGGTAATTAAGGATAGAGCCAGCTTAGCCGACATACTATATAGTTTGATGATATAGGTTCCATCACCTCAGGATGCTGAGGTAATAGAACCTAGGGGGCAATTGTGGGGACATAATTTTTTAATGACAACACGTGGCCGAGGTGGTACCGAAGTGCCAACCGAGGTTCCACGTGTCCTGGACATGACGCCGAGATAATCTCGGCTAGGCCGAGGTTATCTGCGAGGATACTGGAATCTGGGATAAGCGGATAAGGGACAAGAGTCTTAGAATGAGAAAGTTCAGTTTGGATAAAGATAAGACTCTTAGGGAGATTATCCCAATCTAACTGGGAGTCCAGGATTAGCATTGAGCCAGAGTCCATTGAAGCTAGGCTTCTATTGGGATTATGTCAGTGTTGGCTATAAAAGTAAGGCACCCTCGTGGGTCTAAGGTATGCTTTTTGTATTCTGAATAGTGAGTTAAGCACTTTTGCTGTCTGTGAGAGATAACTGACTTGATTGTCGGAGTGCCCTCCGGTGGACAAATCACCACCAGAGTCTTTTTCTTTCTGTGATAGGTCATTCAAGTGTGATCTATTATGCCGTTGTTCTCCAACTGAGTTCCTGTTTGGCAGTGTGATCAGAAAACAGCACACACACATGTGTTTGAGGAAAATTAGTTTGAATACAATTAATATTTTATATTTCCTGTATATTAATAAGGAATCATGGTAGCAGAGTGGAAATTCATACTTTTTGGAGCTTGAGGTGTTGGGTTCAAGTCCTTTTACCATCAACTTTTTCAATATTTGACCAAATATTGCAAACCAGACCAGGTCGATCGGTTTAGTGGTTTAACTGCGGTTTCTACCAATTTTGCTTAAAAAGACTAATTTTCAAGAGTGATCAGGTTAGAGAGTCTATCGAACCATAAACCATTCGATGATTCAACTGGCCGGTCAAGCCAGCCGGTCCGGTCTAGTTTTCAAAACATTGCCTCTATCTTTACATTTCCTAGTTTTGGTAGCTTAAAATGCCTTAGTTTTTTTATTTTAGTCGTAGTTTTTCACATTATCCAAATCTATCAACTGTTACTGTTTATCAATAATAAAGTTTAATTTGTTCATCCATCTCTATCACTTGAGAAAATTGTGAAGTCCACTTTGTTGAGGTAAAAAAAAAAAAAAATCAGTGGTTGTCCGATCAACCATACACAGTCCACTTAATTGGAAGTTAGATTTGAGCACATTGCTCCCAATCATATTTGGATCACACTAGATCCTTGCACGCCCTCACAACCAATCATCATCATCACCAAATTGGTGTTTTCTTGGATCACACTAGATCCTTGCACGCCCTCACAACCAATCATCATCATCACCAAATTGGTGCTTTCTTTTTCAAAGGGCCATAATTTGGCACGCCTAGTGGGACTCTCAGGTGATGTGCTTTTGTTCATCATGTCGAGTTATTTATCATGCCAATTTAAATTCAGCAATGTAATGAAGAAATATATATTGGCACTATGGCAAGATCTACATGCTTGAATATGAAATTTATCATCTTGATAGAAAGAAGTGCCAACTTATGCATTTATCTCCATCATCTTTCACAATGGATTTCGAATGGTGGCAAGAAGAAAAAAGTTGTCTGATTAATGCAATTCAATTGCTTGATAATGAAGTTAATTGGTTGGATGTGGAACTCAAATAATTCCATTGTGATATGAAGTATCTCAATGAAGGAAAGCCATATAGAGTTTCAAGCCTAACGTATTCAATCCTATAAGGAGGAGACTTCACCTCAACACAAGTGGGGTTTTTTACCTTGAAATAAGCCCTTAAATCTAGTCTAAAATCAATCCTTTGCCTCCAACTATTCCACAGTTTGGTACAATAAGGGTTTTCTCACAATGCAATCCTCGACTTCATTGGCTTTGAAATTTTAGTGATTTTTTTACTTTTTGTACAAAATAATAAATTAATGTGTTTGGGAAATTGAATGAAAAACATGAATGATTTGACCTTTTTAATATTTTTTTGACTTTTTGACTTTCTTTTAATAATTTTTTGGCTTTTAAGCCTTTCTTAGCCAACTAGCCAAGTTCTCAAATGAGATCTAAATCGCCAATGGGTGGACATCATGTTCCTTAAGGGTTTTTTCAGGCGTCATCATTCA